TTTTTAGTTGGCCTCAAAACTCAAAAATCCAGTGCAGACAGTTGCCTTGAAATTTTGAGTTTACACAACTTTTTCTTTTTTACAGTGTGTGGATTGTAGCATTCATTCAACCAACTCCATTATATTAGCTGTTGTCCAATACAACTTACCGCATTGCTTTTCCAATAAAGCTTAGAATTGCACATAATCGCTCTCCCTGTGTGCTGGCCTTCGGGTTTCCAATCTCCGTCAGTCAGATGATTAACACATGTGGCGTCAGTGTACAGGTTATTCCAATGTGGTGGCGCCCGATGACGCTTTTCCAGTGAAAACAATCCTTATCCAGTTTGGATAAGCCACAAGCTCAATATTCACCCATAGAGCGAGTTCTCACTTAAGTGTAATGGCAATTTTTCAACGTCCTGTAATTGTCTATGAGGGGCCAAAAAGGCCACAATTCATTCTCACACATACATATATTTTCATTCTCACATACATATATTCTCCTCTCACACACATACATTGTGTATTTGTCCTCTTTTTGTTGTTTGCATAGTGTCCGTGATGGACACTAGCACAGGAAGTTCTTCCCTGTACAGGAAGTAACTCTCAAACCAGGAAATTCTTTTACAAGACTTGCTTAGCATGTCCAGATGTGGTAATAATAGAAGAACATGGTACAATGATGCTATTCAAATTCACTGTGATCTCTTTTCTACTGTTTTTCACTTTGGAAGTAAGAAGCAATGGAAATGATTTAAGATTTTTTTTGCAAATGTCTTGGGATGTGTTGGACAAATACAAAGAGAACCCACAGATTTTGTTCATCAGAGGCTCCATGAAGACCTTCGTGATCATATTCACATCTTATCTGGATTCCTGACAATCCCAAGTTTTGTTCAAGATTCAAGAAACAGAGAAGTGGTTGGATATTAGAGTCTTTATATGGATGTCTCCAATTTTTGCGAAATGTATATGAAACCAGACAAAGAAGCAGGTCTGAGAACAGAGAAGTCCTTTTGACTGGTTTATTTTCCTTGGTCGGGACATCCAGTTGCCAAAGTGTTTCTGAGTCTCGCATCTTAAAGACTGCCACAGCCCTCCGGTTCGGTCTTGTGTATCTGCCTGGCCTGCTGAGGCCGTAGGTCTGAACAGTTCTCTCATCTCATTTTCCACTGCGGGATGAGTTATGTTAGGGACAGATGTGCCCGTCCTCTGTTGCTCAAGAGATGAAGACAACGAAGTAATGACTTCAGGATGACAAAATATTTCTTAAGACACCAATGGCCTCTCGCAGTGCTCCTGTCTCATTTCTTCCATCCATTTCGAGCGGGACCCCGTTCCTGCTTCTCAGCCAATCACAGTGCAATAAATTGCCTGCCTTCCGTTTCCACTACACTTTTTCTAACACATACATACATTCTTTCTGGCACATATATATATTCAGAATGTATGTATGTGAGAATCAATTATGGCCTATATGGCCCCTCATAATTGCCGTTACTGCACAGGTGGAGCAGAGGGAACTGACGCAGACCAAAAAAAACAGAATCTCCAGTCATATACTTGCCGTTAGTGGATGTCATTTCAATGATATGCATGAAATGAAAATACAGCGGTTTTCCTACTGTGAATTTGGTATCTGTGCTGACCTGATGCTGGTCTGGTGCGACCTGTGTGCCCTCCCCCTACCTGTACCTTCCTCTTCCTGTCACTTGTGCCCTCTACATATACATCCCGTGTCCAATTACCACCACCATGTGTCCAAACAATACATATTAAATTACCTGCCGACAACAAACATAAATTGCTCCTACATACACGTCTTTGTCACAAAAATAAATAAATAATAATAAAAAAAAAATCATGCCAGTTTGGGTTCAGGTGGCAGACACCCTCTCTACTTTTAAGGTTAGGATTAAAACTTTCCTCTTTGGGTTAGGGTTAGGGACGTTTGTGGATCTGATCTGCCGCTGGCCTCACCAACCCCCAAAATACTTATTGTTCTGTTCTTCATCTGCTCTCCATCTGCTTTCCAGCTATCCCTCCCCATCCCCATTCTCACCCAGCTGGGTTACATTTTCATTATGGCAGTGACACAACTGTACCATGAACTTTATACTTACAGAATTGTTTGCACAGGTGATTTTGGGATCTGAAGCTGCTTTGAAATGGCTCCAAGTCACTTTCTTGACCTGTTTGCGAGTCAATGATTTGCTTTTTCAAAGCATTGCTGGGTTTTTTTTAGACTTTCCTACAGTATTGTTTGTGAGTGTAATACATGTATCAAGTGGACCGTACTGACATTAATTCGGAGAAGTCAGCTGCTGTCCTCAATTGTAATCATTCACGAGGAAATGCCACTACAAAAATGTGATTAACACAACTTTCTATACATCATCACCAAAACTGATAGTTCAAGTTGATATATACTTATATATACTGATATATACGAACCCAGCAGATTGTCATTTCACAGACCTATAAGATTTAGATCTATGCAGGTTTTTATCTCTTGTACTGAGTCTTTACTTGTTATTGTTGTGAGCAGATAAATTAGTAGATCGTGGATCCCAAGGACAGCATGCAAAAATGAAAGGCGGATAGGGCCCAAAATTTACATGTTTCTGATGCACTAAATATTACTTTGTTGATAATAATAATAATAGTAAAAGCAACATTTATTCAACATATTTTCAAACATTAACAATAAATGGATGTCCATGGTCAAAATTACCAAAAAAAGGACAATTGAAATAGAAATAAAAAGGCATACTTATCTGGTGAATCAGCTTCAACTTAAAAAAAAAAAAAAACCACAAATGAAAGCTTTCTAATGCATGATGGCACCATGTGCTTCTTTTTTGTTCCTGGCATGCTGAACCTTTGACCTCCGTGTTAAAAATATCCTCTGCCATTAAATTAAATGACATTGTGTGGTCACCAGGCTGTTTTGGGGTTTTCTCTGTACAGTCTGTAATCTTCTTCCCTGAAGAAGGCCACTTCTGTTTCATTGGCTGAAATGACAAACACAAATATGTTAGTTACTAATTCACACATACATTCTTGAAAATTATTTTTGAATGGACTCACATAAACACATATTACTGTATTAATGGACAAATGTCAAAGATTTAGAGGGTTCTTTGACTAGAAATTTCAAAAATAGTATTTATAATGATCAGTATCAATCAGAATTATTTAGTAGAATTTCTTGTAATGAACAGAAAGAATCAGAATCAGAAGATTCAGAATCAGAATCAGAATCAGTTTTATTGCCAAGTAATTTTTACATCACCAGGAATTTGACTTGGTCCATTGGTGCAAAGAAGCAGAAGAAAAGAAACACTTTAGAAAGACTATATTTAAAATATTGTACAACAAAAGTAAAAACACCTGTGATCACTGAAACAAAAGTGAGTCATTTTGAATTAATCCAAGTGCATGATGGGTACATGGATATAAAATGATCTGTGAACAGCACAACTTTCTCAGTTTTGACCTATGGGCTGTCTGCATGAGTAGGTAAGGTTAACCCAAACCCTAACCCTACAACAACCTCTGACACACACACTAACAGTGTGTACAGTTGAAGGCTAAAGACAGTTTGCAGCCGTTTGTGGTAGTTCGTAACAAGTCTCTGACACATCTCCTGAGGAATCGCAGCCCATTGTTCTTTGGAAAATCTCTCAAGCTCCTCCAGACTTGGTGGTCTTCTGGCATGGACCCTGGTCTTCAGTTCACCCCACAGACTTTCAACGGGCTTCAAGTCAGGGCTTTGTGCAGGCCAGTCAGTAACGTTCACTTTGGTCTTCTGGAAGTAGTTCTTCACCAAGAGTGACATATGTTTTAGGTTGTTGTCATGTCAGAAGACAAAGCTACGACCCAGCCCCAGTTCGGCAGCTGACTGCTTGAGGTTTTCTTTCAAAATCTTCACATATCCTTCTTTTTTTAGGATTCCTTCAACCTTGACAAGATGCCCAGTTCCAGACACGCTGAAGCATCACCACAGCATGATACTGCCACCCCCATGTTTACCTGTGGGGATGGTGTTCTTTGGGTTATACACCTCTCCCTTTTTTCGCCAAACATAACCACTGTCTCCAAATAGCACTAATTTGGTATCATCTGACCAAAGAACACGCTTCCAATATTCATAATCTTTCTCCAGGTTGTCCTGAGCATACTTCAGTCTGGCTTGAAGGTGTCTCTTCTGTAGAAGTGGAATTTTTCTTGGCCTACATCCTCGCAATCCATTTCTGTGCAGGGCTCTAGTGACGGTCTTCGTTGACACTATAGTTCCTGACTTGGCTAAGTCATTAACTAGTGTTTTGGTTTGTGGTTCTAGCATCTTTAGACTCATCACAAGTTTTCTTTCCAGAGTCTTTGAAAACTTTGGCTTCCTCCCTCTGCCAGACTTGTTCTGTATTGTGTGGCTCTCTTTGAACTTCTTGATGAGACTTTTCACTCCACTTCTTGACACGTGGAGGCGCTGTGATAGCTTTGTATACCCTTCTCCTGCTTTGTAAGCATCAGCAATTCTTTTTCTCAAGTCTAAACTGATTTCTTTTGTTTTTGGCATGATGCTTTCTCAAGTGACAGCTCAAATCCTTAATGAAGTTTTTATACCGTGTGTAAAGTGTAGGACAACCCCCAGTTTTAGCTTACTTGAATTGATTGATTGATTACAAGCGGTGAACAGGGGTTCATGCTTTGGCTCAAATAAAAGGTCAGTTCTTAAGGTAGCTAATCATTTTGACCCTGGTGGTTTTTGTTAAATAATTTTGTTTCGGTGTGCAAAGTAAAATAATGTAAGCATCCAGACAACAGCACTTGGTAATTTAAAAAAAAATAATAAAAAAATTTCAGAACAATTTTGTCTTCAACTGTATATAGTAACGAGTTGTCCAACAGACTAAGCAGGCAGCAGAACATACCAGATGTACCAGGACTGAGTTAAACAAGGCCAGCATTTCTGAATGACCATGACAAAGTGATTGTTAAAAGAAGGGCTCTAGTGTCCAATCATTGTTGCTGCACATGCGACCAAAAGTCAATCAGCTGGACTAAACATTTCCATTAGTAGAACCGGTGTGCCTGATCTTTTGCATGTCCCTGGGTGGACTGTCCAGGTTAAATTAAAACCACGAGGTCTCAACTTGTGTAAATCGAATGTCCTATTTAACCTCTTTAAAACTAATTTGTTGGCCACACATCTGTGTTAGTGGTGTGAGCCTTAGGAATTGAGTGGGGCTTCTTATGTGATGTAATGTGTTAATGGAACCTGTGTTGCTTTAAGCTTCAGGGAAAAAAAAAGGTCTGACACTGTGCACCTCCAAACTGCATTACTCTTTGCATGGACCTTTGGCCCACTTCATCACCCAACACCACAAGGAAATTCTCATCCTGTGGGAAACACTGGGATGCGATGAAACAGCAAACATTATGCATTTATTGCACAGCGTGGAGCCAAAGCATGCATGGGAACAAAACTTTTGCTGTCAGAGCGTCAGTGTTCTGAAATGAAACAATAAAAAAATGTCTCCAAGAAACTCGTCCTGTGTGGTGACAGTTGTGTGGCCAGCACAGCACATTTCAGCAAAGGAGTCAGAAAAAAGGTGTAACACCGTTTAAAATACAGAAGATGGGCTACCCCTGACTAACTTTAAGTCTCAGATCATGTTTATGTAAAGAACACATTAAACACACAAAACATTTATCTGCACTTGTATTCCTGTTTACAGTGTTAAGAAAATATATTTAACAGTACCAAGAGGTACAGTCAAAACGTTTGTGTACAGCTAGATCAAAAAGTTTGGTGCCCGATTGCCACCAGTGCAAAAAGTTTGCCAGCAAAGCTAAATTTTTACTTGTTCATTCCTTCACATTTACATTGATGTAGGTTTAACGTCTACACATCTGATGTTGGACCAACTTTCTTTTGGCTGTACAGAAAAACGAAAAGTTCTTGAGACACATTACACGTTAGTAAAGCTGTGATCAGAATATAAACATTTATTTTAAATCTTTGTGCACAAAATAAAAATATGCGCTTGAACAATTTAAATGTAATGTTTCGGGATAGTTAAATAAATCGTTATGGTAGCATAATGTCCAGGTGCTTCCATCGCGGTCTCATTCATTAGTACATAGTTTGTTTGAGTCAGTAAAGCAATTCCTATAAATAGAGAACAAAAGATGCAAAAAAGGTCTGGTTTCCTTGTGCAAATAAATGAGTGATGACTATGGTCATTTCGATGTTAATGTGATGCTGAGGTCATTGCTTATAGCACTGCTGCAGAAAAAACATCTTTCTGTCAACATTTACATTCTAGCAAACCAGTAATAAGTAGTTCCTGCCAATAGAACAGTGAATGACTGACACTAAACAGAAAACAGAAGAGTTATAGCAGCAGAAGCAACTCGTTGAGTGGGATTGTTTCAGTTAGGGTTACAACAGAGGAGGTTTACGTCAGTGAGCTCTTAGCGGACGAACTCTTACCAACACCAGCAGCTCTAAGGGTTTGGTCATCTTGCAGAATTAGCTTTTCATCATCGTCCAAACTCATCACCAACTCATTCGTCTGAAAAAAAAAAAAAACAACCCATGTAAAGTGCAACTTCAGATTTCAAAGCAACAGTTTTTTCAAATGATTGTGAAACAATCAAATTTTGCTTCCAGCTAGAATACAATTATGATATGTGATTGTAATTTTGCAAAAACCAAGCGGTTCATTTATTATTTTACAGCTAATTTCCAGGTCATTTTACACTCACAATCATAAATCATTTTGCTTCTACTTGGCTTGACATATCACAACACTTGTGCTCACAGCTCCACCCTCAGTAACAGCATCAAGCAAAGAAACACAGTATGTGGCCTGATTGCTCACATCCATCCTTGTACAGGATCATTAGCACCCTGAACTATTCTAATTAGTGTTTTTGTTGTAAGCACATTTTCATCATTATGTGCGAAGTTCAGCATCTTGTACGACTGCTGTTAGTGGTACATGTAGATCCTAATGTGTCTGCAGTTTCTAAAGGCATGTCATCATGACAGAATGTCACACAAATGTCATACTGGATAAAATCATGAAGTGATGACATAAATATCCAACACATCACAGATCAACCTCACTGTAACATACGGAAATGTTTTCCAATATATTTCTGGCCATTGGTCAACACCATAACATGTGATTTCACCTCCTGAATCAAGGGTTGGGGTAAGCCCTGTCATTGTTTTGTTGATCGACCTCTTAGGCAAAAAAGTAGGTCAATGGTCAATTTATTTTAAAAAAAGGACAAAAAATAACAAAATAAAGCTGCTCAAAAAAAATACATGTAAATAAATAACTGGGTAGTAGCATCTCAATATACTGTAGTGGAGAATCTATTAAAGGAAGAAAACTTTTACGTAAGATCAGTGGCGGCTGGTGAAAATTTTTGGTGGTGGGGGCAGTCTGCAAATGACCTTTTATTTTAAATCAGAAATTAGAATATGAGTAACATCAGGCACAACTATTTACAGGAATGCAAATTTTCTATCTTTGGAGGATATTTTAATCATAATCTAACATTATTAAGACTTACCAGAACAAAACCATTCATCAAACTAACTTTCGTCAAACTCAAAACACACAACATAAATAAAAATAAAAATAATAATAACAATAATAAAAATAATAATAATAACAACAATAGTAATGATCAGGGCTCCAGACCAACTTTTTCACTGCTAGCACCGGTGCGACCCACTTTCTCATTTTGACCCACCTCGGACCTGGTCAAAGGGAATACATATGATTTGCTGAACAATTTCTTACCGATAGATGCTACGATGTATTCATGCTCCCTAAACGGCCCACACAGCAGGCTGTGGTAGCTGCTGCTTGGTGGCTGTGGAGTGCTCTGACAGGTGTGTGACCAAAAATGACTTTAAAAATAATAAACTGGGGCGTTCTAACGTCAGATTTGTCTGAGGCTAAACCCAGTTACATGTATTCTACACGTGGTCTTTTCTATAAGTGGAAAAACAGGGAATGCAGGTGTGCTCTGTTTTTCATGAGAAGACCTTATTTTTAGGCGTAAATACTGCAGCACACCGAAGTCATAAAAGTTCTACTTTCCACCACTGTGGTTAACACAGCAGCTTCCTGTGCCGGTTACAACGACACTTATACAGCTTCATGATCATCATGCTCATCAATTCACATTCTCAAAAAGAAGGTCACAAATGCAGTCTGGAGCCCCGCTATTTGAAAAAAACTTGGCTCTTCTCCCTTTCTGCTCAGCAAACTTCTCTATTACTTTTTGGTCGAAGTCACTCACCTCCGTGAGCAGCCTTGACAGCATGGACAACGCATTAAGCTGTCACGACAGTAGCTGTCATTTAGTAGAAGAGCGCCTTGTGATGGTGTTAGATATGTATTTAAAGCACAGTCGGAAGAACATCAAAGGACAGTTTTGATATCCAACTACAGAAGACAAAAGCAAATAAAGACAAAATTAATTGGCTTACAGCAAAAGTGGGCGGGTCCAGGATGACCAAGCTGCACCCCGTGAGAAAGTCTGCAGCTGCCAATCAGAGCCCGGGCCAAGGTTACATGATCACGAAAAGTTTTTCGAACTACATACACACTCATTTGGCTGGCGCTATTAATTTTATTATTACTTTGTTATAATTAATTAAAATTTAATATTGTGTTTGAGAACTACTTTTTATTTGGTCATTAGTAGTTGGGCGGCGCCCCTGCGCCCTGTATTGACTAGGGGTGTAACAAATACATGTACTCGAACTGAACCGCTCGGTACAGGCCCTTTCGTTCAGTACAGACCTGAACCCACGGTACAAACATAACATTTTAAGAGAACTATGCATCAGTATTGGTTACATTTCTATACAATGTACATTTAATATGATTTGTTGAGTTCCCAACAGCTCTTTGGTTTAAGAAAATAAACAAATGTTTTGGATTAATTATGAGCAGGGTTTTTTTTTTTCCCATTTTCCCCTTAACTGAGAACCAAACCGAACCGAACTGAACCGCGATTTCCATACCGAAATACGTACCGAACTGTGATTTTTGTGTACAGTTACACCCCTAGTATTGACTAGCCACCACTGCTTAAGATGACTTTGTTTTCTTTCTCAAGAGTTAGTTGTTTTTTGAAAGGATTATAAAAAAGAATAAAGTGAAAGGGGGAGACAAAAACTTACCACCTGTTTTTCCATTTTCTTCCTTATAAAACCCAACATAAATGAGATCTCTATATGCAATTTGCATTATGTTTATTTCATTAAACTTACACTTTTTCAACTTTTTTTTCCTTCAAAATATTCTCTATGTTTTGTTTGACTTCTAATCTTTGTATAGAAGACATCAGTGTCATTGCAACTTGACTGGTTGGCTAAAGAATACAGTTTATACTGGTTTATAATATGTGGTGTGTTTATTCAAGTAATGCTTGTTTGGCACTTTATTTCGGAGACGTAAGCACCCACTGGCCCGGTGACTCCCACCCTTCATCTTAGCAGCTGGCAGGTTGGCTGGCCAGATGACAAACTGGTCAATGTTTGCCACCATCATGGGCAGAACAATCTTATCTTGCAAACGTCTTTGTAATCTAGGGCTGGACCCGAATAGCCGAATAGCCGACTATTCGTTCGCTGTGCTGGAATCGGAAATCAGAAATTGATATTCGGACCAGCACTATTGTAATCTACTGCCTTATCTAACATCCCTGCAGTGTTTTGATAGAATATAATCCTTCTGGAAGATGCTCTCAGTGTTTCAGAGATTATATGTACTATCTGTTGCTGTTAGATGAGCTAAGGTTCATTATGTGTTTCATGTTGCCATGAGTGGGGAGGGGTGGAACTTTATAGAACATCCATCCATTATCTATACACTGCTTTATCCTCTGTACAATAGCAGGGGGGCTGGAGTCTAAAAGCTGCAGAACATTCTGCATGTTTGAAATGGATTTCTGTACATTTGGCCTGCAGACACACACGCCTCGGTTGTGGCCTTGCAGTGTGCCTTCGCCTACAGATGGATACCTTTGCTCCATGAGCTTGGTGGATAATCTTCATTGTGTCTGAAAATATAGGACAATGAAATCAGATGCAGTTCATGGATTTTGGCAGGTGCCATGAAGTGAAAACACATCCAACAAATCAGTTAGCTCTAATACACGACATATTCTCTTATTTAGTTTGAATTAATACATTGTATACAGTATGAAATAAATAACAAATACAATAATATATGAAGTGTTAGTGAAAAGCTTTTGTTTGCAGGCCCAACAGCCTTCTAGATCAGCTCAGACAGCTGTCTGTAGCTATATCTGATTCCATAATCAGACATAGCAGTACATTATTTCATTAATTTTAGGTTACTTTGAATATCAAGACAGACACACGTACCATAAGCATATTTCCTGAAAGGAGGTGGAAGTCCTTGCTTTGTTGCAATATCTAGAAAAAAAAATGGTAGTGTTTATCAAGACTTTATTCTCTTAATCCTTTGTATTGTTGATAACGCGGTAGCTGCAAGTCCAGTTGCCTTCGCTTTAGCTCTTAGATAACAGTGTTGCGAATTAGCACATGTGCTAAAACACTCAAACAATGCATCTAGTTTGTCCTATGTAATTGTGATGTTCACATCAAATGAACAATAAAAAAATAAAGCATAGCAATAAGCCCTTTTTCAGATATGGCAACTGTGACATTGCTGGCTTCATCAATCTGCATCCTTAAATTCATGCAGATGATGCTCTTCATGGCTTCATTCAGACAGACCCACCACACATCTATCCATCGTCTATACACCACTTAATCCTCACTAGGGCTGCAGCCTATCCCAGCTGACTCAGGGTGAAGGCAGGAGACACCTGGACAGGTAACCAGTCTATCACAGGGCTCCCACCACACATGATATTTGTCATTTGTGCAAGATTAAACAACTCACCAAGTAATGTATAATGCATAATAATGCAATGACAAGGAGAAGAGTAAATCTAAGCTACAAGCGGTTTATCAGACTGTCTAAATAACGGACAACCTTGTCTATTTATGATAAAACAATGACACTGAAAGTTCAAGACTTAACTTGAGAACAGGTGAGGTGTAGCAGATTATTTAAAAGCAGCTGATAAACTGTGAGTGTGTGTGACAGCTCACCTGTCTGTGGTAAGACAAAAGTCTGCAGTGTAACTTGCTATCAGATCTTGATAGGCCCCATCTTTATTAAAGTAATTAATGAAGTTACTGCTGCTGTTCTGTGTGTAAATGTGCACAACTTTCACTTTGGAGACACGTGTATTGATCCTACTGTTATTTAATACATTCGGAGGAAATAGTTCTAACTACTGCATTTGTATGTGTGACAGCTCACCTGCTTTGCCGTTGGACATTGGTCCACTCTCTATGCTGTCTAGGGAAAAATGTATAATTTTAAGACTTTATCAACTCATGCTGCTGATTTACTTGTGGAAATGTGTGCAACTGTGTGGCTATGGAGACGCTCATAGAGATCCTGCCAATGTCTGATGATGCTGCTATTTAACAAACACAGAGGAAATAGTTCAAAAAAAGGTGGAACAGCAACCTGAACTGTGATTCTGTTTGTAACAGCTCACCTGTCAGATGTGAGGCCAACAGACAGACTTCTGGTGGGGAGAGTAATGGAGTATAAGTCATGCTCTCCCAAGGCCTTCACAGCTTTACATTTATAGAACTCAGAATCTAACGTGCGCTGGCAGCAAAGGCAAATATTGCCCCTAACCTGCATTATGACCTCCAAAGTCAGACAAAATAAGAGGGAAGACCTTAAAAGAAGATGAACAGAAGTTGTAATCAAGAACATCTCCAGATGCTTGAAGCGTCTTGCTCTGCTTTCAGAGTGCGTTCAACTCAAAGCTGTTGTCACAGCTGGCAGAATGACATTAGGATCATCAGTCGACTGGAATCCATGGAGGGTCTCTGGCCTACAGCTTTTTCACTGAAGTACTGATGGATATGTTCGGGGGCCAGGTATGAGAGAGCTCTCCCGACCTCCACCGGGACACCACATGCTAGCAACAAAGCAGCAAGAGGGCCATAAACCAAGACCTGAGATTGGATATTTCCACCAATATAAAACTAAAGAACCAGTGATCCCAGAAGCCTGTAAACAAAGAAACGACCTGAGGTACAGAAGTGTACTGGTTGGTATCTACAAAGACTACAGTCCAGATGTTCTGGAGCGGCGTGCGCCATACCAGGATATCATGGCTACACTGGACAACTGCGGTCTGCCACCGGCTCTTCTGTACTCAGCAAGCCTTCGAATAAAAGATGAAGAAGGCAAGAAAAAGTGATTTTTTTCAGTTGAGGAGGCTACAGACTTTTTCAATGCATTGCCGGCCTCAGCGTACCTGGTATGAACCACACAGTAAAAGTCAATGTTGATTTTTTTTGGATGCTGCTGTTTACAATAATTTCCCAAAAACATGTTTTTCTGGGTTCTGTTTGTTAGCTTGGTAAGGACACTGTTAATGTACTAGTCTGAGGTCAGTTTTGACTCAGCGTTACAGTTTAAGCCAAACACATTACTGAATTTCCCTTCTGGGATGAATAAAGTATTTTTCATTTCATTTCATTTCATTCACTGCAATGTTAGCTAGCAGGAGTTTGCACTGTCATTCAATACGGTCGGCTTTGTTTTTGTAGATTTAGATTAGATTCGAAAGTCTTTATTGTCCCAATTTGGGCAATTTGATTTGCAACAGCAGTCGACAATGAAATTCATGCCATAAAGCAGCACAGTACATAGAAACATGGATAAACATAAAAACCCAGTAGGTTTTTGGCAAAGTTTGACAATGCTCCCCAGCCGATTTTTATTAGTGATGCTAAGGTTCCCGTACCAGCAAATCACTGCAAAAGCTAGGATTGACTCAAAAAAAGGATGAATAAAACATCTTTAAAAGTGAACTGTCAACATTAAGATCGCTCTCCTTCCTTAAAAACTATGCAGTCATCTGCTTTGTTTCCAGTCTATTATCCAGGACTCTCAGGTTCTTTGGAACTTTTAGAGACTCAGCTTTTGGTTTTTATGTTACAAGTCACTGTAACAGCTGTGCCGCTTCCTTAAACACAGCCTTCAGTGTTTTCATGGTCATTATTTATTTTTTCCCTCTCATTAATGTTCTGTCACTATCTTCTATCCAGTTCATCCATCTATACTCCGCTTAATCCTCTGTAGGGTCATGGGTGGCTGGAGTCTATCCCAGCTGACTCAGGGTGAAGGCAGGTTCCCCTGGACAGGTAACCAGTCTATCACAGGGCTACACTTAGAGACAGACAACCAAGCACACTCACATTCACACCTATGGACAATTTAGAATCACCAATTAACATCAACATGTTTCTGGACTGTGGGAGGAAGCCGGAGAACCCGGAGAGAAACCACGGTGCACGGGGAGAACATGGAGACTCCACGCAGAAGGATCCCAGGCTGAGATTCAAATCCAGGACCCATGATCTGTGAGGTGACATTGCTAACCACTGCTTCACTGTGCTGTCCTATTTTATCCAGTTATATTTAATTCAATGTTTTTGTTTTTTTAGTTCCTCTCAGTAATTGCATTACTTCTAAGCTGACCAATGGGGTACATGCCCTAATATCATATTAAAAAACTGAATATAAAGGGTCCCACTGTATAAATTCAACGCAAAAATAACCTGGGATCACTGGGATCCATATCTTAAACTCTCTGCATATGTCCACCTGTATTCTTGATGACAGACTCGGTCCTCATCAGCAATTTACTCAAAAACTGCATGCTTTAATATTTTGTTCATGGATTGTATAAAATTTCATGGCTGGGACGTAAAATGTCTTCCAATTCCAGAAGGACCCCTATGTTGTGGGTTTTTCTTGGTCAGACAACAACTGCAAGTGTTTCCGCTAATTTTCAGTAAATCACAGATGTTCCGGATCCTTTTCCATCTCTGTGAAGCCATACAACCAGACACGTCTGTTCCAGGTGGAGTCAGACAGACAGCTACATGATAACTGCTACATGCTACATTCTAACTGTTATACGCTAACTGGTACATGCTAACTGCTACATGCTACACGGTAACTTCTATACATACTAACTACAACACGCTACACGCTGACTCACCGCCTCTCACGAGCTCCATGAACTCATGCACCGTCTGCTCCAGTCGGACTCCGTGAAATACGACCGGCTTGAAGTTTCTGTGCTCGAAGGACCTCACCAGACGAACACTGACCACAGCTTCCGCGTCCATGTCCTGCTGCTGCTGCTACTGCACCGACCGAACAGCCTCCTCTTCCTGGGCTCAGCGTGTAGACGGCGGCGGAGCCACCAGAACCCGGGTTCAGCCGACGGGTCCGCAGCGCCGCCTGCTGGACGGAGGTCGTATTAATTCAATATAAAATCAATCCATTAACGTTCCGACGAAATAGAAAGGGGCTGTGAAATAAATTGTGAAATATACAAATAAGGCAATAAATACGTAATTAAATGCATTAATTAGCTAGCTTTTATTTTTATTCCACATTTGTGTGTGACGTGGTATTTTTATTTCATAATGCCACATTTATTATTTCCAGGGAACTTTTATTTCATGTTGCTTTAATTTATTTCAACAGACTTCCATTTAACCACATTTAACATTTTAACAACGGGGTGTGGCTAGTATGATTGACGTGCCTAGTGTGCAATGATTGAAAGACAGAGTCCCGCTACATACTTTTTAAATTCTTTTAAATTTTTTGTTCAGTTATGATACACTTGCTGTTCTTTTACATTGTGTAGGTGGATTAGCAATACAATTTCCACAAATACAACTGCCATTTTTTAGTTCGCTTTAATAATTTTTCCGTTCATGGTAATTACGACTTATATGTTGCATCTTCGGCTGATTGTACCAACTCTGAAGGGATTTAATAGCCTGTTCAATAAGTAAATGTTTATTTTGTTATTTGTTTACAAATGTAATGTTTTTTGTTTTTTTTTTAATTGTACCTTAAGGTATTCAGAGATCTGTCCTGAATACCTTAAGTCTCTGGATGTTGTGGGACTGTCCTGGTTGAGACGTCTCTGCAACATCGCGTTGCGGTCGGGGACAGTGCCTCTGGATTGGCAGACCGGGGTGGTGATCCCTCTGTTTAACAAGGGGGACCGGAGGGTGTGTTCCAACTACAGAGGGATCACACTCCTCAGCCTCCCCGGTAAGATCTATTCCAGGGTACTGGAGAGGAGGATCCGACCGATAGTCGAACCTCGGATTCAGGAGGAGCAGTCTGGTTTTCGTCCCGGTCGCAGCACACTGGACCAGCTCTATACCCTCCATCGGGTGCTCAAGGACTCATGGGAGTTCGCCCAACCAGTTTACATGTGTTTTGTGGATCTGGAGAAGGCATTCGACCGTGTTCCTCGTGGCGTCCTGTGGGGGGTGCTTCGGGAGTATGGGGTCCAGGGCCCTCTGTTA